GAGAGCTCCGGCACGCAGACTCCCAAGACCAAGGCAGGAGCAGAAAGCAGAGGTGTCCCGAAAGATCCTCAGCCACTCCGCTCCCCAAGACAGGCGGTGTCCGACGGGAGCAGCTCGGAGAGCGGCGGCGGCTCCGAGCAGATGGAGCGGGTCTTCTCCCTGAGCGCCCTGGACGCCCTGCTGCAGGAGACACGCGGAACTGAGCTTAGGCTTAAACCCGCTCTGCTACCGCACGTGGGAGGACCCTCTGGAGAAGGCGGACTTGCGCTCGCACCTGCAGTCGGAGCAGCTGGACAAGCGGCCCAAGTACACCTCCCGGAACTTGGACACGCCGATTGTCGTAGTCTCTTCGGAGGTGAACCCCTGGTCCAAGACCGGGGGCTTGGCCATGGTGGCGGGCAGTTACGGCTACGAGTTCGCCATGCGGGGCCATCGGACTATGGTCGTCTCGCCCCGCTACGGCGACTACAAGGACGCCGTCTACGTCGGCTACGCCAAGATCTGGCTCGACGGCCGCGAGCACGAGGCGCGGTGCTTTAGCTCTCGCGCTCTCTCTCTCTCTCTCTCTCTCTCTCTCTCTCTGCACTCCACTCCTCAGCGTCTCAGGTCCGGTTCTTCCACTTGTACCAGGATTTGGGGGAGGGCAAAGGGACGGACTATATCTTCGTGGAGCACGAGAGCTACCACCGAGGAGGTCTCTACTGCGACCGGGACGGGAAGGAGTACGTGGACAACTTGTTCCGCTATGCCTTGCTCACCGTCGCTGCCATGGAAGCACCCTTGGTGCTCACGCTGAGGGGCTCAACCTATGGCCAGAACGTGCTTTTCATTGCAAACGACTGGCAGACGGGATTGCTGCCTGTCTACCACCTCTACAAGTATCGCCGGAACCGCACCTACCTCAACTCCCGCTGCGTCTTCGTCATTCACAACATCGGCTACCAGGCACCGCGAAGCGCGTTTCTAAAAACTCCCTTCTGAGACTGAGCTCTGGTTATAAGGCTGCACAAGAGCGTCTGCAGTCGGGCTGAGGGCAAGTACCGGCTCAGCAAATTCCCCCTGGACAGCTATCTGGGGCTTCCGCCGGAGGCCATTGACTTGTTGCAGGGTGAGGAGCGGGTTGGAGAGGGGTTGCGGGAGGGAGCTTAGGGCACAAAACGTGCGCATGCAGGATCTGAATTTGGGTGTGGACTGCATGAACCTGATGTCCGCCGCCATCTTGGCATCCGACCGAGT